TTTTTTTAAGACAGGGTCTCACTCTGTCACCCAGACTGGAGTGCAGTGGCGCAATCACAGTTCACTGCAGCTTCGAACTCCTGGGCTCAAGCAATCCTCCTACCTCAGCAACCCCAGTAGTTAATTTTTATTTTTGCAAAACAGATTAATCAGTGAAGTACATCAACTTTGGAATTAGACTGCTAAGGGTTCAAACTCCAGCTCTGCCAAATAGCTACATAAAAGGGCTAGCTAGATCATTTTTCTCATTTCTCACATGAAATTGTCGTAAGTACTGAAGATAACATAGGTAAGTACTTACTTACCTACTGTAGTACCCAGCATGTAATAAGCTGCCAATCACTATCATTTCCTTTTAAATGTGCTGACTTGTAGGAATTTAAAAGAAGGATACAATTGTGCTGCTGGGCTAACATGCTTAAAACATAAAATCAGCCACTGTATAACAGCTGACTAAATTTCTTAAAGGAAGGAGGCCAGTGAAGGAATATTTTAGTAATGGTTACAGGGGAAAGAGAAAATTTTGTTTGGATTACATGTGCCTAAAGAAGACAGAGAATATATATATACTTAAGTCATCTATGGGCTGTTTTTTGATACCTGCCCTCAAACAGAGTTCTTAATTCCCATTAAGAGGGTAAAAAGTCTACATTCACCATATTAAGTAGGTGTTATACTGGCTAAATGGTATCAATAATAAGGACTTCTGGGAATCTCTGAAACGAACAAGAAACCAGGGTTGCAAATAAGAGAGGCTTAATAGGCCAGGAGCAATGGCTCACACCTGTAATCCTTGCACTTTCAGAGGCCAAGGCCAAGCCAGCCTGGCCAAAATGGTGAAACTCCATCTCTACTAAAAATACAGAAACTGGCCAGGCATGGCGGCACACACCTGTAATCCCAGCTACTCGGGGGGCTGAGGCAGGAGAATTGCTTGAATCCAGAAGGTGGAGGTTGCAGTGAACCATGATTGCCCCAATGCACTCCAGCCTGGGTGACAGCAAAAGAGTCTATCTCGAAAAATAAATTTAAAAAAAGAGAGAGGCTTAATAGAAGAGGGAAAGGGATAAAAAGGGATTAACCAAGTTGGGGTAGAAGGTAAGGAGTAGGGAAGGTGAGTCTTGAATCAAGATAAAACAGATGACTGGATCTTGGGCGTTTTCCCTGTAAGTACTCAGAGTTGGATGTTTGCCCAGAAGATAGCCAATGCCTGACCTTACATTCGAGAGGCAAAGGGACGCTTCTCTCCAAAGCATAATTATTCAAAGTGAAGTCGTGATCCATTATAAATTGTGTAATCAATTTAGTGAGCATAACATGTTTTTTAACAAATTAAATCACACAGGAAAAATAAAAAAATAGAGTATATCACATTATTCTGCCTCACAGCAACTTAATATTTCATAGAAGTTGAATTCAAATTATTTCATTTTGGGACTATATACTTAAATTCTAAACTAAAACTGCTATAAATTTTAGGTAAGTTTCCCTTAAGATAACAACACCATACTCAGTGCTAGCCAGAGAAAGATCCTTTCAAAAACATAAACTAGTCAATTACACTTGTAACAGCTCCACCAATTTGCTAACCTCAAGTTTTATACTATATACATAACAAAAGGAATAGCCTCTATTTTACAAGGAAATATTTTAATGCATTCACGTAGCTTAAATTTTTAAATATAAAGAAATTAGAAAAATTACTAATATTTCTAACAAAACAAACGGGCAGTCAGTTGCCAGTAAGTCTCTTGAAAAAATAGAACAAAATGTCTGCTCCACTGGAAAAAAGTACTAAAAAAAAGCTGCATGTAAAATAAAGAGGTCATATACAACCAACCCAAGTGTGTCTATCAAGAGGCAAAGGTTTTAAACTGACAAAGCCTATAGTTTTCTTTTTTAAAATTTGCAAATACAAATATGCCAGCCCACAGCCTAAAATTTCAAAATAAATAGTTATTACAGGCCAGGCGTGGTGGGTCATGCCTGTAATCACAGTACTTTTGGGAGTCTAAGCACAGTTGGAGACCAGCCTGGGCAACAAAATGAGACCTTGTCTTTACAAAATATAAAAAATTAGCTGGGTGTGGTAAAGCATGCCTGTGGTCCCAGCTATTCTGGAGGCTGAGGCAGGAGGATCACTTGAGCCCAGGAGGTCAAGGCTTCAGTGAGCTCTGATAGCTCCACTACACTCCAGCAAGGGTGACAGAGCAAGACCCTGTCTCAAATTAAAAATATATATATACAACATAATCCAAGCCTTTTAAATATTTTCTCTCCCATTTGCACAATAATAATATTCCAATGTATTCTTCTGAAGCATCTGTAAAAGGCTGAAAATAGATATCGTTTTAGGTACGATGCTGGTCCACTCCAGTAGATGCCTGGGGCTTCCCTGCCTTTGCCCTCCCAACTTAAGAAGAAACCTGTCTGGTGTGTCTGTGTACTTCTACTTCCTCAGATCTCAGGAAGGGGTTTCAGGCAGAAAGGATGGCTGAGAAGGACTCTAGGCCATACACAATATAGCAACCAAATTCAGAAAACGTAAGTAATATTTTAGCCTATCAATGCTCTCATTTTCTCCTTAAAATATAAGGCATATGAGTGCACTGAAGTCTTATTCTGTATACTATCCCAAAATACTACTAAAGATCTTCTATTTGTGAAGAGAGCAAAACAAGTGAAATCAGTTTCCAGAAACAGAAAAATTTTACTTTACTACAATGTCAAACAATGTAGTTGAATTTGGGGACTCTGCACTGGCAATGAAGACTGATAGCATATTTTTCCCCCTTAATCTTTTGCCTTAACAATTCAGACAAAAACTACATCCAAAATACCTTGAGCGAAATCTTTCCTTATAGTTCTTGATGGGTGTAATATATAACACATAGCATGCCATTAAAGTATTGCCATGTACATGTAAGTTTGAAATGTCAGGTTTTTTTTTTTTTTTCCTGAAATCTCCATTTTTATTTAAGCTTCTAGTACTTACTCAAGGAGGAACCGTGTAAAACTGCACAGTTGGGACAGTGATACAGGTCAATGTCAACAGCATGATGTTCTTCTACTCCAACACAGCTAAGACAAAGAAAAAATCAGTGTGTAAGTAGGCTGAAAATCTTCACTTAACTCTAATACAGTGGTTGGAATTTAGCTGAGAAATGTACAACCACCTCAACAACACATTTTTGTAGAGCACAGAAACACATATAAAGATAAATTTTATTCTGTTCTCTACAAACCTGCTAAGTGAGTGTGGGGGAACATACTAAAAGTAATTCTCTCCTAGCAAGAGCAGAGACATCAGAAATAATACAATTATAAGCCATAAAATCCTCAACCATTATGTTGATGTCACATGTTATAAAACGTCAACAAAATGAGACAAAAGATAAATCACATTAAAATGTGAACAATGAAAACATTATATGACAAAATTTGTGGGATGAAGAACTTAGAAACATATAGCTTTAAATGCATCCATTAGAAAAAAAGTGGCTGAAATTAATGAGCTATGTATCTAACTCAAGAAGTTACAAAAATAATAGCCAAAAAAAACTTAAAAACAGAGACAGAAGGAAAAACAAAGAGAAGAAATCAATGACACAGAAAACATGTAACAGAGCATTGAAGACAAAAATTGATTCTTTGAAAATTTTTTTTTTTACTAGAGGCTTGCCAATTTTATGAATTGGCAAACCTCTAGTAAAGCCAAGATAAAAGAGGGAAGGCATAACCCATTCTAGGAATGAAAAGGGAGGCAAAACTTAGATCCTAAAAATATTAGATATAAATGAGGATATTATGAACAATTTTATGCTAAGAGATTTTAAAATATTAGATATGGGCAAACCTGAGTCATGAGCAAATAGAGTATCTGAACAGTCCTGAACAATCACTTAGTAATTTTAAAAATTGACACACAAAGAAGACTCCAGGCCCATATGACCTCACATGCAAGTTCTATCAAATACTCAAGGAATAAATAAATCTAATATCAAATTTATTCCAGAGAACAGGAAAAAAGGAGTTGCTCCCTAACTCAATTCATGACAGCATTACCTTGGTACCAAAACTTGGAAAGAATTATAGGTTTTTTATGAGCAAAGATGCAAATATCAAGTTGGGTCTATCCCAGGAATACAAGGTAGCTTTTAACACTAAAAATCTTAATCAGTGAAACCACTTATTAGATTAAAAGAAAAAAAAACATATGACCATTTAAAAAGATGCAGAGAAAGTATTTGATAAAATTCAAAATTTATGTATGATTAGAAAGTAAACAAACCTCTTAGCAAGCTTAGAGGATACTTCCATAATCTGGAAAAGGGTACTTTTAAAATATCTTATTCAAATAACATGAAAGCAGTCACTCTGAGATTAAGAACATAGCAAGAACACCTGCTATCACTACTTCTGGTGAACACTGTGCTGGAGGATGGACTGGTACAGTAAAATAAGGAAAATAATTAAAAGGTATAGGGGTTAGGGGGAAAAAAAGCTATCATCTGCAAATGCTATGGTTACACATGCAGAAAATGCAAAAGAATCTATAGAGAAATCATGTGACTCAAAAAGATTCCTAAATATTAGTATATAAAAAACCCTATTTCCATAAACCATCAATATAAAGCTAAAAAGTGAAATAACATACCATGTACAACTGCATGAAAGTGTGAAGTACAGTGGAATAAATTTAACAAAAATTATGCAAGACTTCTTTAAGGAAAAATATAAAATATTATTGAGAGACTTTAAAGAAAACCTAAATAAAGGGAGATATACATCATGACCATGGGTTTGAAGTTCAATAATGTAAAGATATTAATTCTCCTCAAAGTGATTTATAGATTCAATTTAATTCCAATCAACATCTGTGGAACCCGGCAAACTAGTTCTAAAATTAATATGGAAATGTACAGGGCCAAGAATATGCAAAGCATTCACAGAAAACAAAAACAAAACAAACCCCCCACCCTAAAACTCTACCAAGTATCAAGACTTATTTAAAGTGCAATCTTATTTAAAGGAATCAAGGCAATATGAAACAGATGGCAGTGCCCAAAACCAGATCTATGCATACGTGGACGCTCATGTGTAACAGAAGACATGCAAGAGCACACAACAACAATAAACTTCTCAATATAAGGTCCTAAACATTTTTTAAATCACTTTTATATAAATATCTTATATAGCTGGGCATTGTGACTCACGACTGTAATCCCAGCACTTTGGGAGGCTGAGGTGGGCAGATCACCTGAGGTCGGGAATTCAAGACCAGCCCGATCAACATGCAGAAACCCCGTCTCTACTAAAAATACAAAATTAGCCAGGCGTGATGGCACATGCCTGTAATCCTAGCTACTTAGGGAGGCTGAGGCAAAAGAATCGCTTGAATCCAGAAGGTAGAGGTTGTGGTGAGCCGAGATCATGCCATTGCACTTCAGCCTGGGCAACAAAAGCAAAACTCTGTCAATAAATAAATAAATATCTTATATCAGCCTGGCAGTGGCTTATATCTGTAATCCCAGCATTTTGGAAGGCAGAGGCAGGCAGATCACTTGCAGTCAGGAGTTAGAAGCCAACCTGACCGACATAGCAAAACCCCATCTCTACGAAAAATATAAAAGTTAGCCAGGCATGGTGGTGCATGCTTATAATCCCACTACTTGGGAGGCTGAGGCAGGAGAATCGTTTGAACCCAGAAGGTGGAGACTGCAGTGAGCCAATATCAAACCACTGCACTCCAGCCTGGGCAACACAGCAAGATTCCATGTCAAAAAAAATATATATATATATTTTTTTTTTAAATAAAAAGAAACATATTTATGTAAAAGATATTTATATATAAAATATATTTTATATACATAAATATATATCTTTTATAAGATATCTTATAAAAGATAAAATATATTTTATATTTTATTTTGTATTTATTTTATAATTTTATAAGATATATTAAAATATCTTTTTTAATAAAAAAAAAAGCAAAATAAAATTAGACATCTATCTCATAACATAAAAATTTATTCCAAAGTAGATCATAAAACACAAAGTACAAAGGTTGTATAACATAATATAGAAAATATCTTTATGACTTTAGGGCAGGAAGGTCTTAATTAAAACACAAAAAGCACCGTCCGTAAGGGGTAAAAGTGGTGACTTCCACCATATTAAAACAAACTCCTATTCATTAAACTATAAAGAGTGAAATACGCCAGAGCAGCAGAAGACATTACAATACAGGTGGCCACCAAAGGAATTACACTCAGAATATACTGAACTCCTACAAATGAATTAAAAAAAAAAAAAAAAAAAAAAAAAAAAAAAAAAAAAAAAAAAAAAAAACCCAGTAGAAAAATGAACCAAATACTTGGACAGGCACATCATAAAAGGAACTCTAAATGGTTGAATCACACATAAAAAGGTGTACAACCTCATAAGTAACTGGGGGAAATATAGATTAAAAGCACAATAAATACAACATACCCAACAGACCAGCTAAAACTAAAAAGCCTGATGATACTACATGTTGAAGATGATGTGGAGCAATAGGAACTTTAAATTGATAATCTGATACAGCCACTGGAAAATAATTTGGCATTAAAACTGAAGAATCTTATACTCTACAATTATTCTATGACCAAGCAAAACCTTTTTTAGGTAAGCACACCTTAGAGGAACTCAGGCACTACTAATACGGAACCGCTTACAGAATCACTATTTGTGAGTCTATAAATAGTAAAATGGATAAATACAGCATATTATCATAACAGAACTCTATATGGTAATGAAAATGAAAGAATCGTACAATAAATGAATGAATTCTACAAGTTAATCAATATTGAGTTAAATTTTAAAAAGACATAAAGGAGTATATATGGTATATTCTATTTATATAGAAAATTCAAAACTAGGGAAAGCTGAAGTATATTGCTTTGGGATAACAAAACTATCTTTAAAAGCAAGGAAGAGACAGATCTTAACAGTAGGACAGTGGTTTCCTCTGGAGATTATAATCTGGAAAGGATGGCAGGTGGTATCCTGGGGTTCTAGATGATTGTTATTACATGGGTCCATATTTTATGATTATTGGTTAAACTGTAGATTATGTTTTAGGTACTTTTCCTCTATTATTATTCCATAATTAAATACTAAATAAAAATACACAATTAATATACAATTAAAATACTAAATTTCATAATTAAAATTCTACCCACAACCATGTAAAACATCAGGTAAACAAAAATCTTGAAATGTATTAATCTAATAACTAAAACAAAATATCAAAAGCAATAAATCAGAGACCCCCGAAAACAAGCCTACTCTCACGTGAGAGAACTCCAGTACACTTGCTACTATAAAGTCTTTGAGAGTTTGCGTAGAGCTTACTGCAGTCCCAAAAGGTCAAAACCAAAAGATGTCAACAAACAACATGACACTGTTGTTTGAATACTGAATCCATGTATAAATCAAACTATTACAATTTGCTTTTGAGTAGAACACAAGTTTATTATTTTTCCAATTTGGATTTACATCATTTTCCCCATAAAAAACAAAAGGTGAATATGCTAATTGTTTAAAAACTTATTTTTTAACTGAAAGACTACAAATTTCCAATTCAAGAAGTGAATGTTATACAAAATTTTATATATCTGTACATACAACTCCCTTGGTCCATAGTTTCCTATAAGAAACTCAAAAAGGTTTCTGTCACCCAAAGAAAAGGTTAAGAATCGCTGGATGGAGGATTCACACTTCCCAACTTCAAACTCACTTAACGAAGCTAAGGTAATCAAGACAGTGTGGTACTGGCATAAGGACAGACAAACCACATAGAACTGAGAGTCCAGAAATAAACTCTTACATTTGTGGCCAACTAATTTTTGGCAAGAGTGCTAAGATCATTCAAGGGGAAAAAATAATCTGTTCAACAAATGGTATGAGACAATATACATGAAAAAGAATGTGTTTGGACCTCTACCACATACCATATACAAAAATTAACTCAGATGGCTCATACCTAAAGGTAAGAACACTATAAAACTCTTGAAATAAAGCATAACAGCAAGTGTTCA